TTGGCTATTCCTGCCAGCTTAGTGTCATCTGTAAATTTGATGTGTTCCCCTTGTTAGCAAAGAGATGTGCTAGATAAAAGCATGGCCTTGATGGTTCTGCAAGTACCTCCACCTTTAGGATGTATCTTGAAACGGCAATAATTGAGGACCATTTTTGTTTGCCAAGTTTTTGCTTGTGAGCTGTCTACTAATATATTGTTATGTATTTTATTGCTTTTAAATAGTAACAGGAAAAAAGGATCAAAACACAAAGATAGATACATTATCAAAAAATTGCATAAGTGTTGAAAAATAAGTTGAAAAATGCAACAGAAAAAAATAAAAATAATGTATAAAGTGTGGCTTTAACAGTAAACAGTTACAGCTCTACATATAATTAATGCAAATATTATGCAAGTACATATATATTTATTTCTAATATACTTTTAATATTCTTTTTAGCCTTAATTGTATCAAAAATAGTCAATGAACAAGAAAAGTTTAGTCAAAAGCTGACATTGTTTTCTCCTATAGTTAGTTAGCTATGCCACATGAACCTTGCCTTATTTTTTTTAATGCTATTAAAAGCAGACTTAATTGTGAAAAGATAACCAAGTAGATTTTCATATTGCATAATTGGAAATAGAATTTCACACACAAAAAGGCTCTATTACACTCCAAAATTTTATCATATTCGTATTACCGTTTCTGCAGATTTCAATGTCATCTCATAAAGACAGCCAAATGTTTGAAGGAGGAAAAAGTCAAAATGTTCTAAATGGAAATGGAGCCTCTCATGGAGAATGGGGTAGAGCATGGTAAGAAAATCTACAGTAGTAGTAAGTATAACGGTGAAATACCTGTGCTTATAAAGAACTGTACAGGTTATTTCGTAAAAGAGGCAACTACTGCTGAATTTTATGGGGATTTTATTAATATTTAAAGGCAGGAGAGATGTCATAGAGTATTTAATTTTTTTCTTTGAAATATATGTTGGTTTTCTGTTGACACATCCAAGAATAGTTCATGAAACTGGCTTGTTTCAGCAAATACTGTAATTGTTAAGAACACATTACAATTGTGCAAATCATTATTCTGCTCAGAGTCACCCATTGACAAAACTCTTCCAGTAGGGTTTTGAGGTTTGTTTTTTTGGATTAGGAGTAATAATCTCTATGTGTCTTTTTCAGGAAGATTGATTGGTTTTCTTTGATAAGTGTCATCTTTCTACTCTCGTGTTCCCCCTTTATGGTCTACTATTTTATAATGTCATGTGATCAGTACCATTGCTCTTTGAGTGAGCCAGCCATCCAGTTGCTTACGGGAAAAGTTCACCTCTTAGATATCTGGCGCAAGACACCATCTTTCTCTTGGAAAATTCTAATCGTTTACTTTTGTTGGGTAATGTTCCAGGTATGTGTTTTGAAACTTCTCTCTTGGAATCCAGTTTGTTTTTAAA